TGTGAATTTAGTGACCAAATATATCACCCCGAGTTTATTTATTTTCCGTTGTACCTTGTGTGGATATGTGCAGCTTTAAAGAAAGAAGAATGGATCAAAAGGTTGTGAAAATGACACACTTCCATTAGAAGAGTAAAGAACTTATACAAGCCTCTCGGTTACGCCGAAGGCAAAGCGTTTTATTGTTTAGTCACCGATCGTTTATGATTCCCTTATTACATATTTTACCGAAGACTGAAATGGATAAAGATCAAAAAAGAAGACTGAAAAGGATGATATGTTTTTCTGGATAAACCCTAACAACATTTCCAGCTTGAAACATATACAAATCGATCAATCTTTAAACTCTTTGTAATTAAATTATCAGTTCTGATGAGTTCTATCTTTTGTAAATTTTGCAAAGAAACTAATCAGTGAACAATGAGAGTACAAATTATGGTTACGTGCTCCAGATTATTCAACTACATTTTTCTGAAGAATAAAAAACAATTAAACCGAAAAATAAAAATAAAACAATGAAACCGCAACAAACCATAAAGGTGGTAATCATCAAAAGAAGAAGAAAAAAGAAAGAACAAAATTACAAAATATAGTTAAAAAGAACAAAATACAAAATATAGTTAAAATAAATTTGCTAACCAGGCTTTGCCTTTGATAATATTTGTAACTAGTTCACAAACGCAAACGCAAATAATGACTCCGATTGGTAACCATCGCGTAATCGCGGAATCGCAGAAATAATAGTTAAGTTGCGGAAAAAATTAATTAAGTCGTGGAGAAATTTAAAATTTGCGGAATAGCGGAATATATATTAATTGATTAAAATATTTTATATGGTTTTTAATTTGTTATAAAAAGCAACTAATAATAATTAAATTAATTATTATAAATGTGAAAACAACTAAAATTTATTAAAAACATTTTAGTTTTTATTATAAATATCTAACATATCTTTCAATACATTTTAACAATAGACATTTTTAATATACAAATTATAATAGAACTTTATTTACAACATAATTATTTATCATTAAAATTATTGATATGTATTTTATATTTTAAGATAGTATTAGCATATAATTTAATAATATGAAAATATTAGTTTGTAAACCTTTCCACCATAATCTACTAAAACTCATTTTTCCATTTAATAAAATTTCTCTTTATATTTTTGTCAGCAAGAACGCAAGTTTACGTTTTTGCGTTTTTTTTTCATTCCGCAACATTTCGTTGATTGGCAAAATTCTTGCAGAATCGCGTTTCATAAGTCCTTCCACCATTCCGCATCGTTACCAATCAATGCCAATCTCTCTTTAAGTGAACCAACACAGGACCCCTTTTGTATATATTTTTTTTTGTCAACTGAATCCTATTTCTCTTAAAAAAATAACTCTAACTTATCAAATATTTTCTCTAAGAAAATAACTAATTGCTTATTGTTTTAAAAATTGAAGTTAGTAATAATTAGAGTACTATTTATTTTGTCAGATTCGATAGATGATAAATTTTGAAATCTTTCATGGAAATGTTTTTTATCTTTGTCAGAACGAAATTGATTTTACCTTAAAATAAATAAAATGATTTTTAAAAAAGAATTTTTGTGTGAAGTAGGCGGGGGACCATTTGGAGATAGGTGAACAGTTGGCTACTTAAACACCTTCTCACCCCTCACCAGTCAGTCACCAGCAAGTAGACCCCACGCGCTATATGGTCCCTACGTTTACATATTTACTTTTTCTTTTCAAATAATTAATATTTTATCAATTAAACAATTGATTTTTTTTCTTTGTTGGGGTTAAATCCGGCCGTCCACTTTCGCTAAGCCGGCGGCTGTCAGCCTAAGTCTGAAAAAAATCTAGGACTGGTCCCCACGTTTATTTATTTAATTTACCTTTTAAATAATTATTTTGTCGTATCTATGGTTTTCTTCGGAAGTAATTATATTTTTATTATCTTTTCTTTATTCGGGTTGCATCAATCCAGATGTACGGTTAGGATTCTCTTATCCCGAAGCGCATGCTAATGCTTTGGGGGGGACCATATGTGGTCCAGGCAACGTCCTTTCGACGCGTGTCCTTTGTTTTTTTGGCCCGCGAGTAATGACGTGATTGATGGTCCCCTCTTTCTCCATTTTTTTTCTTTAATTTTCTTTACCACCGGTTATTTCCGGTTTATGGCTTTTTGCCAACCGGTTATCTCGCCGTTACATAGAGGGAAAGTAATCGCAATCAGAGAACAAGCAATTCAGTAGTGACTTCGTTACGCTCCTTGGGGTGACGTGTGGAGCACGCTCCAACCTTTACGGGGTTGGGTACGTATCGACCACTTTAAATTTTGTGATTGCTTATTATATTATTGTTTACAGATTTGAATTGTTAGTTTTCCCGGTCATTATCCTTTTGACATTTAAATATAAAGATCTCACTAGACCTAGGTATGAGTCACTTGTAGAATATTCAGTGGATAATGAAGAATTTTGCAATATTTAAACCCTTACGGATTTATTAAATAAAAAGATGACAAATCAAAGGCTGGAGCAACCAAGTCGGACGATAAGATTTCTTTCGTATAGAACCAAAAAGGGCAGAAGAGGGATACAAATGAGCAGAAGACACATCAAAGAGAGACGTAAGTCATTCGACACCGACGTAAGGAAAAAATGTTAGTCGTGGTCAAGAAAATACTTTTCGTCGGCACTAAAGTTTCTTGATCTTGAGATTATATGATGTCTAGTTTTACAAAGATGTGACAAAAAGTAGCAACACGTTATAAGAACATAGCAACAGACACTACTTATAGATTGATCTGATCTTAGGGTAATAATCAAATTTAGCATTAACGTTTCATATTTGAAGCTCTTTACGTAGCAAAACATTATCATTAATTGGTACGTCATTCTCCATATTCAAATCTGCATATTAATAATTAATAACATCGCTAAGGAAAAAAAGTATCGCCATATATATATTCAGAAACATCAAAATGAAATACCATATACAAAAAATGTAAATAAGAACATTTATGCATTTTCTTTTTCTCTAATAAAAAACATTTATGCATTTTCCAGCTGCACGTTTGCATTTAAAGTTTTAAACTGTTTGACTACACAGTCTACACCACATATAGATCTTGTATTCTTCAATTTTTAACATTGTATTTAGGTTATAAGTTCAGTGAATTATACTGTACGATTTGTAAATGATATGAGAGTGTTGAGTATACATGTATCTGCATGGTTGAAATTTTTGTACGTCATTTTTTTCTAATTTTTACTACATGGACATATGTTTATGACAACGGTGATATATCCACGCGATCGTTCATGTTTTAATTCAGATTTTCACACGTGTGGTTAGGACAACCTCGGCTTTTGTTTGGTTGAGTAAGATGACATGTGGCTCGACCTTTGTAATTACTTTGAATAGAATAAACGATTTATGGGATGACTGAACAATTAGTTTTAAGGAGTTGTTGCTTCAAATTATGTTATCTATGAGACTATAAAAATTGGAAAACATAAATATTAAAAAATTTATAAAATTTCAATATAAGAAAATCTTGTGCAAAGTCTATAAATTTTCTAAAATCTTAAAATCCCAATCAAAATCTATAGCTTGAGGTAAAGTCAACATAATTAAAAATAATAATAATAATATGCGCACATGTATAAACAATCAAATTATTTGTTATTATATTTGCTTTTTTTATAATATATAAAACTGCAGAAAAACTATAAAATAAGAATTACAAATAAAAATAATTTGAAAAATTGTTATATATAAAGACATAAGTCCGACGATCTTTAGAGCATCCACATCAATGAATTTCTTTTTGAGATTCAAATTTTCAATCTTTTATTATTAATTTTTTTTTAAAATAAAAAACAGATCAGTCGTGGATCACTAAGTGTCATGGACTTAGCGCTACAGTGATGAACCGGGTTCACTACATAGAAACTGCAAGAGACATTCATCACTATTTCTTATTTTAATTTTTTTTTTTTGAAAAATGTGTAACCTTATCTGAATCTTTGATGGGGATACTCTTAGATAAATAAGCTAAAGATTAAACCAAACATCTTCGATACTGTAGTTTCTTCGTATTTTCCTTAGGTTTTTCAAACGAATTAAATTATTTTGTTTGGGTAAATAATAATAAATTTAGTAGGATTTTTAATTTGTGGACGGCTAGGTGAAGGCGTGAATATGTAGTCTGTATATAAATAAGTTTATATATTTGTTTCGAAGATAAAAAATACACAGCACGCATGGTCCGGCAGTTAAATCAACGCGTGAGACACAAGCGCTTGTGCAACCAGATACGTTGCGTCTGGAAACACAACACGTAGCTTCTTTTTTTTAAAAAAAAATGAAATACATTTATTATTTTCTTATAAAGAGGGGAAACGACCTTGCTTCACCGTACGATCTCAATGAACCCCAGTCGTCACTCACAAATGGACGACTCAGATTAGTCCATGACGACCTACTTTCTTTAATTAAGTTTTTGTCCTGACCTAATCTTTCTATTTTATTCATTAGTTACTAAATTTCTCACATTTTTTCCCTTTGCAAAAAGAAAAAACATATTTGTCAACCATAACTAAAACTTATTTATCAACCGAAACGTTAGTACTGATAATTTTTAAAATACTTTTGAATATATTGAAAAAAAAAAACTCTGAAAAAAAGAAACAAAAATAGAGAGAGAGAATAAATGGTTTATCACGCTCGTCTCAGCTCTGTGCAAGTCTGCACACCTACATATATACTCAGATATACATATATATGAGTAGTAACGTTTTTCTCTGTCACTTTTTTCAGACAAATATAAATTATATACAAAAAAGTTTTTTCTGTGGGATTGATAATTGAAACAATCGTGATAGAAGCAGAGATTCACCTTCTCTTTATCTTTCCCTCTCAGACACACAGGAGATTCGGACACAACAACAAAAAGAAAGAAAAGAAAGCAAGAAAAAAAGAAAGTCAAACAAAACGATGGCGTTTCAAGACAATCATCATCTCTCTCAAGACCTTTCCTTCAATCATTTCACCGACCAACAACAACACCACCACCACCAACAACCACCACCTCCTCCTCCTCCCGCTCCTCCGCAACAGCAACATTTCCAGGGAACTCCTCCTCCCAACTGGCTCAACACGGCCCTCCTCCGCTCCGACAACAACAACAACAGCAACAACTTCCTCAACCTCCACACATCCACCGCCGCGAGCAGCTCCGATTCCCCCTCCTCCGCCGCCGCCGCCGTCGCAGCTAACCAGTGGCTCTCCCGCTCCTCCTCCTTCCTCCAACGCAGCAACAACGCTGGAGCCGAGGCGATGATGGGAGGAGGAGGAGAGATGAAGAGCGGCGGCGGCGGAGAGAGCAAGAACGACGGAGGAGGAGGAGAGGGAGTTGTGAGCTGGGAGAATGCGAGACACAAGGCGGAGATACTCTCTCATCCGTTGTACGAGCAGCTTTTGTCGGCGCACGTGGCGTGTCTGAGAATCGCCACGCCGGTTGATCAGCTTCCGAGGATAGACGCTCAGCTTGCGCAGTCGCAGGACGTTGTCGCTAAGTACTCTGCTTTGGGAGCTGGGCAAGGACTCGTCGGTGATGACAAGGAGCTTGACCAGTTCATGGTATATACCCTTTCTCACTAATTTTTTAATTTTATTATTTTTTAAAAAAATCAAATTTGTTTATTTCTTCTTATTCCATGTCTCAAGTGAATGTTCTGTGATTTAAAGATTTAATTTTGTCTGAAATTTCAAACAAATTTGAGAAGAAAAGAGCTTTTTTGATGATAATTTATTAAGGGTGTTTTAAATTTATTATCCTTAGTTTAATTGATTTTTCAAAAAAAAATATTTTTGTGAATGTATAATTTTGTTATGTGATTTGATCTGTTTCATTTTTGTATATGTGACACAGACGCATTATGTGCTGCTTCTGTGTTCGTTCAAAGAGCAACTTCAACAACACGTGCGTGTTCATGCAATGGAAGCTGTGATGGCATGTTGGGAGATTGAGCAGTCTCTTCAAAGCTTAACCGGTAAGAGAGAGAGACTCTCCTTTATCTCATCATCATTACCATTTGGTTTAGAATTTTTTTTTTTTTTTNTGTGACACAGACGCATTATGTGCTGCTTCTGTGTTCGTTCAAAGAGCAACTTCAACAACACGTGCGTGTTCATGCAATGGAAGCTGTGATGGCATGTTGGGAGATTGAGCAGTCTCTTCAAAGCTTAACCGGTAAGAGAGAGAGACTCTCCTTTATCTCATCATCATTACCATTTGGTTTAGAATTTTTTTTTTTTTTTTCCATGAATTTATCTGCTTATTTACACATAAAGTTGCTGTATTTGGCAAAGACAAGCTCTTTTGGTTTCTTTAACGGTATTGAAACGATGTGAGTTGTTTGTTGGTGAGATAGGAGTGTCTCCCGGTGAAGGCATGGGGGCAACAATGTCGGACGATGAAGATGAACAAGTAGAGAGCGATGCTAATATGTTCGATGGGGGCTTGGATGTGTTGGGTTTTGGTCCTCTGGTTCCTACTGAGAGTGAGAGATCCTTGATGGAACGTGTTAGACAAGAACTCAAACATGAACTCAAACAGGTAAATTATATGCAACAACTTGAATTTTTAAATCTTCTATAAGACCAAGACCCAAATACTTGGAAGTCTATTAGGTTTATATATATCTCTGGAATCAAATAGAGTATTATATATGGATTGAACTATTTGTCAAGTAATTCCTCCAGTTTCAAAATGATACATTTATTTACATTAAATTTTTTATTAGGTAATAGTGGTAAATTGTAAACTTCAAAGAAACTCTTTGTGTTTACTGAATTTTGATTGGCTAAAATTTCTGAAGAATAGTTATTCACAAAAAGTGCATTTATAATTAAATTTTAATATTTTTTTAATGTGTTAAAATTCTAAAACATACATGTTTTTAAAACAGATATAATAGTAACAAATTTGAAATTGCGGTTTTACATTCTCACAAGCTTTGTTGGTGTGAACAGGGTTACAAGGAGAAGATAGTAGACATAAGAGAGGAGATACTGAGGAAGAGAAGAGCTGGGAAGCTACCAGGAGACACCACCTCTGTTCTCAAAGCATGGTGGCAATCTCATTCCAAATGGCCTTATCCTACTGTGAGTTCTCTCTTTCATTAATTTTCGTCCATTCATTGATTCTCCTCCCAAGTAATAACAATGAGCATTGCTTGCAGGAGGAAGATAAGGCTAGGCTGGTGCAGGAAACAGGTTTGCAGCTAAAGCAAATAAACAATTGGTTCATCAATCAGAGAAAGAGGAACTGGCACAGCAATCCATCTTCTTCCACTGTCTTGAAGAACAAACGCAAAAGGTAATACTACTTATATTGTCTTAAAACTTATGGGTTCGACTCAAGTCTGAAACCATTTGTGTGCATGGATGAAAGCAATGCAGGTGACAATAGCGGAAGAGAGCGTGAACGTTTCACGTAGGAAAGAAGATATATATGAAGTGAATTGTAGCTGGATTGGTTGGGATTTAAGGCAAGGGTTTAGGGGTGTTAAAGGGTGAGATAATGAAGAAGGAGAAGTTGGGCTATACAGAGAGGAGACGATATTAGAAAGTAACTTTTTGTGCAATTACAACATAGTACGTAGTTTGGTTATGTTATGCCATATGTTTATTGGTAGTAAGTACACAAAACCCAAAAGTAAAAAATATTGTCACTATTATATGATTTCCATTCAATTTTTCTCCTACTTGTTCTGTACTGTTATCGTTAGCCTAATGTCTTTGCCGTTACCATATAGTTTTTCTATTATTTTTTGGCCAATGTAGACTTGCTTAAATCTAGATTTATTGTGTAATTTGCCCTTTTGACGATCCCCAATTCTCTCTCTCCCTCTCTATCATCCGCAGTTTAGAATATTTTTCGTGGCTTCGTTCAGGATCGTCACAAATGTGACCTGCCAATAATACATCAATGAAGAAAGCTTCTAATGTTTGAAAATTGTAATGGTCATGTCATAGATGTTACACTGTAATCATAAGGAATGTGTGCTGTAAGAAAATGAGTTATCGTACAATCTATTGTCAAAACTCCATTCCCCAACCTTGCCATAAGTTAAAAGACCCTGAAATCACAACAATCATGAATCCAGTCCTCAAGTTTGTATTTGTTAAATCTTTTTGTCTCTTGTTCTTAAATGACAAATCAGAATTCGAAATCTTACCTTCATATCATAGTCACATCCATAAGTGTGTAGTGTATGGGGGCTGATTTATTACCACCAATAGAACCAAACCAAGTTAAGGTTTCAAAAAATAATAATCTTATCCATGTAACAATATATACACTTTATGGGGTCCAAGCCATAGTTATTACACTGTCTTCAAACTCATGTTAATATTGGAAATTTAACAACAGTTGAGAGGAAGACTTTTCACTGAATATCAATTTGACCAAGCATGGTGGCACACTTCTGGCTTCTCCATTCATGGGTGAAAACATGCTTAACAACAATAAACAAGTTTTACCAAATGCAAAAGAAAAAAATGTATAGGTTAGGGTTTACCTGAATCATGAAGTCATCGTCTAGAAAACTTGTACCACCATGCAATGCAGATGAGACAGCATAAGCATACCTATACAAGATAACAAAAGTTGTAGTCAGGTCTAATTAACCGACAAAACCAAACAGAACATTCCATGCAAGAAAATAATGTTGTACATTTCAAGAACCCATCCAAAAGCCGTCTGCGTCAGAATCACTCTTAATAGCCAAAGCAACATTCATCCAAGTTGGAGCTATCTTATCCAAAGTTTCCTAGAAAAAGCATAACATCCGCAACCCATTGAGATCTTGTCCTTACTTGGTTGGTGAATGAAGAACAAAAAAAGCAAGTTTCTGTTTAAACTGGACATTTCGTTTACGTTTCGGATCTGCTTAAGTTATAATTAAATTACAATTTTTATATTGTTTTAGAGCAGTTTTATTCAGTAAAATGCATGATGTGCTGCTTGCGGTTCTGGTGTTGCTGACATGGATAATGGATTCGGGTCAAGGATGGGTTTAGAATAAAGGCGATGATGTGAAGACACACGGGAGTGTTTGTGTTCAGCCTTCCTGTGTTTTATCCCATTTGTCACCGATGAAGTAACAATGTAATTTTATATTAAATAAATAAAATGGACATGTTTTAGGTAACTCTACCCAATACCATTGAAATGTCAAAACCATCTCTGGAACCACAAAAGCTCAGAATAAATAACCAAAGCAGTAAAATAACTATCACTCTTCAAAAGTGTGTGCTTGCTGCCCCACTCCCTTGCTTCATTTGCGCCAACAATCTCTCACTCTCTCTGCAAACACACACATTATCCTGTCTTAGCGTCTACAATATCAAACGTAACCAAAGGTAAGACTAATTCATTTTATTCAGCTTTACCTTCTGACGTTTAGACTCTGGAGATGATGGTGGTTCAGGTCTCCGACTTGACTCCCCTCCCTCTGCACCTTCCCCCTCCTGTATCTCAATTTTATCCACAACCAAAACTCATTCAAACATTTTCTAATGATCCCATTATTATCAAGACTATATAACCCACAAGCAAAATGATTTCACAAGTTTTCTATTTACATAACATCGTTCACTAACTAACTGAGCCCTCCAATATGAATCCCACAAGTCAAATGACGTGTTGCATAAGAATCCACGGAAATAAACAAGCTATGTACACATGTTAAAATGGTGAGACAATGGAGAGATACAAAGTACCTGTCTTGAAGAGGCTTGTCTATTGCTATTGCTGGCTCTGCCTGCAGTTTCATCTGAGCTTGTGGAAGGCACGTTTTGAGATATGAATGGCATGATTTGCTGAAGAACACTTGATATGAAATTCCCTTCATCCATCCCTGTTGCTGGCTCTACTTGTGCATTTGAAACTGCTTCGTTTGTTTCCGTCGATGCTGTGGCAGATGAATATACTGTCACTTGAGGCTCCTCTCGACTAGATACGGGTCTCAACATCTGATTGAGTCTGTTTCTTAACTCAGAGAAACCTCGATCGCCTGGAGCATAATTGATATCACCTACATGTTTGAAGAGAAGCCAAATGTTTATGACACAGCCTATCCATCTTTTAGACAACTTAAAAACCACCCGGTCTAACAAGATCAAAGCCAAAACAGTAATGGGAGAACGTCAAATCAAACATACTACGACAAGGAAAAAAAAAGTTTCCTATTCACGACATTTTATCAAATAAATCAGCAGCATAGTGGAAGACATGTTTAAAAAGTACCTTCTCTTCCTGGAGTACTGGCACTCCGTGGCTGCCTAGTAGAGGATTCAGTAACAGTCTGATGTACACCAGTGGAGTTACGTTCGCCAGTAGATACCTGTTGATATCTAGCAACAACGGGTATAACCAAGGCCACAGGACTCCGAGTTGTTTCGGATGTCCCTCTCACTGAAGGGGCAGAATCAGTAGTGCCACTGGGTGGAGGAGGGACCGACTGTCCAGGGGTTTGCTGTGTATTACTTTCTTCTCTCTGGTTGGTCCCACTCGAGGGCATCCAAGATCCTTACGTAACGAAGACGAATCCAGATATAAGGTGATGTGAAGATCTTCAACATAGCAGGAAAGAACTTAGAAATTAACTGTATGAACGGTACCTGTGCGTATTCTTATCTCAATGTTTCTAGGGGTAGAGGTAACAGTTTGTCCACCGAAAGGGCTAGAATGTGCAGTTCCTGCTTGTAAGCCTCCAATACTCGTCCCCATCCGAGAGGAGTGTGACTACAAGAATTAGTAAGGTAGATACGAAGTTAAAGGGTGAAAAAAGTGTACACACTGCTAAAGAGGAAAAAAAGGAAAGAGACAGACCGGTAAGGGATTTCCCCCTGTAGGAGATATGAACACTGCAGGCCCAGCATTCACAACGGCATCATCCTAAAATTTTAGATAACAACGTTCTTATAGATATATGGGAATGAACACAACTATATATGAATGCATCATAAAAATGTAAGAGTGAGATTCATAAATGTAGGACAAGTATACGCACAGGTGTTTGTCCCAAACGCAGCATCATGGTGGTCCGGCCAAGCTCCATAAGCGAAATGCCTAAGCTCTCCAAGAGCGATCCTGACTGAAACATATGTGTCTGGCACAACCTTCGGGTTGAGGGATCGGTCACATTTACATGATCCACGAGCTGCCTTGAGAGATTCTGCAGAAGGGAGGTATAAAACACTAAACAGTTATTCTTGTTTCCATAGCTTTGACCACCCAATGCAGATAAGACTTCATGAGACAGAAGACAAAAGGAAAAGGGCATACAGATAAACAATCTGATACTTCACCGGTCAACAATTGCCTTGTCGATTGCAACACTTCAGCCAAATGAGATGGCCTTGGAATCCGACTCTCTCCAGTAGTAGAAGCAGAATCTTGCACACTGCCAATTGGATTTACAGGCTCTTGCAAGTTATTAGCATTGCTACCTGCAAAAAAAAAAAAAAAACAGTACCACTGTTAGAATCTCGAGATTTCTTCTCATCACAGAACCAAACATTTGGAATCAGTCTCACCATTTGCAGCAAATTCTTGTCTCAGATGATTTAGATATTCGGATAAGGTTGTCAATGAATCTGGAATCGCCTGCAGTGGTAAAGTAATAGGGTTCTCGTGAACATAAACATAATGCACCTTACTAAGCAAAAATTGTAACATGAGAAATTATGGAATCAAAGGAGCAAGTACAGCTTGTTGTGAAGATGCCAAGGGTGTAGATGTCTGGTCCGCCTCATTTGGTGTGACAGCCCGCGCTCCAGTACTCCGAGTTAGATTCTCGAGAAGAGGACCCTGGCAAATAAACGTCAGTGGCTTACATCTAAATCGATTTATAGAAACCCACAGGATATTACAGGCACTTACCATAGCATCAATTCCTTCCATACCATTACCACCTTCTGGATTAGAGATCCCAAGTGAACCCAAAACAGCTGAAACAATCTGCCAGATATGAAACATAGCTCGTGAAAAAGCTCACACCTAATCCAACACATACAAATCTAGAAACAGATAAAAGAGGGCCCACATGACCAAGATCTGAATAGACCCCATCTGCTTGATCGATGTTGAAGGATCCTACTAAAACTCGTGATCGTTGACCGCTCGGTTGGTCACCCGCACTCGAAGCAGGATCAGCCGCTGAAAATCAAAATCTACAATTAGCAGAATCTCACACAAAGCATTGGAAAATGAAAACTATCATGAGAGCAGAGTTTCAAAGATGACTATGAACAAGTTTTGTGACAACAAATTTGCAGGGGAACTAGAAACAAACCTGCATTACCAGTTACACTCTCGGATAACGGTGGAATGGGTTGTCTGACAACCATATGCAGAGTGTGGCCATCTTCAACATCTAAGAGACCCCGTTAAAGAACTTTAACCGGAGAAAGAAACAGAAATTACAAGCTATTACACGACACTAACAAACACGGAAGCCGAAACCAAGGGTTTGACAAACTACGTCAGCAAACAAAGGTTCAAAACTAAAACGAAAGCTCTGAGAAAGAGCTAACGGGATGTGGTGGAAAGACCAAAAGGATACGATACGCTGACAGGAGTTGATCATCTTTCATTACTTGTCCTCGACATATCAAGCGTTGTTGTTCTGTGACAACGCCAGTAACTGAAGCAATTTGCTCCTTCAATGCGGGAACAGGAACCTGAATTGAAACAAGAATAACAGAAAGTAAAAACAAGTCTATATCAGACACATACAAAAAAAAAAGTGACAACAAGACAAGGTATTAGTTCCACGAATTCAATCAAAGCACTGAACAGATCGTAATTGT